AACTGAAAGATAAACACAAAAAGGATTAAAAGCACAAGTTTAACTCAAAAACATAACCAAATCATAAGCTAGAAGGGTAAGAAATAATATACAATTATGAACCGATCAGATGACGGTGGGGGAGGCTAGGGATTGGTGGGAGCAAGATGGGGCTAGGAAATGTTTTTGTTTTCAATTTTTTTCTTTATTGTTTTATAACATTATTTTATAATTAATTAAGTGTCACATGCCTTGGTCATGAAACCATTCTTAACACTAATTGGATGAAATGTGAGTGAATCTAACGGTAGGGGGGAAATTGACAAAAAATAATAATTGAGATCCTTAATTTTCTAAAAAAAGAATAGGGGGCAAATCGAAAATTAGCTACAAGTTTAGGGGGTAAATCACTAGTATTCCCTTAAGTTTTTTACATTGTGAATAATCAATTAAATATCTTTTTTAGGAAAATATTATCTAGTAGATGAGAGATACCCACAAATGATTGGCTACTTAGGACCATATAAAGGTGAAAGATATCATCTTCCTGATTTTCATAGGGGTGTTCAACCAATGGGTCATAAAGAGGTATTCAACCATGCACACTCTTCCCTTAGAAGTGTTATTGAATGCACTTTTGGAGTATGAAAAAAGAGATAGAGTACTTTACAAGACATGCCTAGTTATCATTTTGCAAAACAAATAAAAATAGTTATTGCAACCATAACACTTCATAACTATATAAAAAGACAAACGTGATTGTCATTTTGATGAAAGTGAAGATAACCTAAATGGTATTCAAGGTGAAGAGATTGAGAGAGAGGTTGATGCGTAACAAGAAGATGGTCCTGTAACATAAGAAATGGAGGCATTGAGAAATCATATAGCCCCAAGTTTAATGAGTTCATCTACTTAGAAATGTATATGATTGCTTGTTTATGACTAGCTTAATTTTTTTATGACCATATTATTGATAATATATTTATTTTTAATGGAATACTTTATTTATTTTATAATTAAAATAAATTTTAGGGTGTAATGGAAACATATTTAATACATATATATAAGATAAAGTGAAAGTGCTTTTTCTTTTACCAAACACTTGAACAATCATTTCAACATAATGTCTTTTTTAGCCATTATACACAGCTCATAGCACTTTCACAAAAAAATTTATCAAACACTCAGAAATTGATTATTGTACAAACATCATTTATAACAAAAAGTTTACCAAACGCCAAACTTCTTTATCTCACAGTTGATTTCGCGCACAGCAAATCTAACAACGATTATTTTCACAGCATAGCAATGCCAAATTGGACCTAAACCACCTCTTTAGATAAAATTTAGGGATGAAGTGAGAAAACCTACCTCCAACCATTCTCCCTATCCAACTCCTAAAATAAGGAGACCTCTCCTAAATCTGAGGAGAGAGAAAAGACTCATGGCTCCTTATAATTAAATGTTGCTTTACTTTAATCATATTTTAAGCATTTATTTAATACTAACTATTTATTATTATTATTTTATATGAAGAGGGACCATTTATGCTAAACTAAAAAAAAGTAATAAATCATTTACGATTCCTTAAAGTAGGGAGCATATTGAAATTTTATAAGGAGCTCCTAAAATAGCTTTCTAGTGTTTTTAGCTAAATTTTAACTAAAAAATAAGGAGCATAATTGTGTATGCTCTTAACTATCAAAAGATAATCCCACTGAACTCTAGAGGGGACTTCTTAATTTCCTTTTTTGGGATTTTACACTCGTTTATGTTCTAGGTTATTCCTTTTTTAGCAAACTAACTAATCGGTCTCTGATGATAATTTTTTTTTTCTTCAGTGTGACCGTAACACAAATTATTTCTCTAGCAAGTATTATTTTGACCTAAAATATAAAATTATTTGAATTCGTTGGTTTGGTGTAATCATATGTTTTCTAAGCATTGTATTTCTATCTAATCTTGGATTATTTTAGTCCATGGGGGAAGTCGAGTTGGATTTTGATCAAATGCATTTAACCCGTGCTCTGTCCATGGACCATAATGATTTTCAACATAAGAGGTTATCGTGCATACAAGATAGGCCACATATATCTTCATCTTTCAATCTAACCATCCTATCATTTGTTTTAACATTCTTAATGTTTTGTGAGATTCATTAGGTGGAGGACGAGAGTGAAAGTTGAACTCTTGCATGAATAAGAGGCTAAAGTGCTCTATCATTGAGGCTACAAGGCTACAAGTAGTGAGATAAACGTTTCTATTATCGTCACAACAAAATGTTGCTCTTAGACCTTAGTTACATTTTAAAGCCAAACATTTCGCCCTGGTGAAAATAGTTGGCCCAATGACATTTTTATGAAACCTCAAACTTATTGATTTATCAACTAACTCTTAGTTTACTGGTACTCATATGCCCAATGTTAGAAGCGATCTCGAGTCCAATCCGTTGATGAGGAAAATGCCAGTAATAATTAGCTTGTCTCCATTTCGTTCAATCCTTTTCAACCAAATTCTACTTACTATATTCCCATCTATAGAGCCACGCCACCATAATATTCTCCAAACACAATCTGGAAACCCTGATATTGGTTTATGGAAGGAATCATCGTTCCACATGAATCATGATGACAGCAAGTTACATGTTTGGCCCCATAGTAAAGAATACAGACATACAAATTTCTCAGATTTTTGCCCTGTGGTAGGAAATGGAGCATTTTGGGGCCGAAGGGTTCACATACTCAAAAATAAGAAATTAATGTTAAAAAATAAAAAGGAGAGTAAAAGAGGTATTTGTGAATGGGGTGGGTGTTCACAAATTATTTAAGGAACCTACCCCTTCCCTTAAATGCATGTTTCAAACAGTTAACAAAAATGATAAACTCCACAATAGATCCACAAGGTTCAATTGCATATTCAATAAGTGGCAGAAAAAGAAAAAGAACTAGTAGATGTTACATGTACTAAAGATATTGCTACCAGCAAAGAGAAGGCAACTTAAATGAGAATGTAAAGGGCAAAAGGCCAGTCCTCCTTATGCAATCTGCCTTTTCTGAAGTTCTTAAAGCTTTTGCATTGAGTTTGGCCTCTGCATTAGCCCTCTTTTCTTCAGCTATTCTTCTAGTCGCAGCAAGTTTATTCGTTAACTTTTCTTGACCCCGAGCTTTCATTCTCTCAGCTTTCACCTAATAACAAAGCAAACAACATGTCAGAAAGCTCTAAGAATGCTATTGCATTGGATTCCATATCTGTGAACCAGAGCTAATTGCTTTTGGTGTTATTTGGACAGACTTGTAGATATTGTTGTGGCAGTCTGAGCATTTGCAATCACACTTATACATAGTACCCGGGGAGGCATTGATTTGCAGTTAATATATAAACTGCAAAGCCATTGTTATGTCCTACTTTGAAGTTAATAGATAGGAAACTGGTTGGGCATCTTTGCCACCATTTTCATGAGTTTCTGGTCATAACACCAAGAAGGCAATAATTTCAGTATGAATCGGTGCAAAGATAAATGATTCGGGAAAAACTGATTCATGCCAGTGCAAGTTTTTCATTGTTATGAAGCCCAAGACAGTGATTTGGATCTGTATTTTTTTTTTCATGAAAAGCAATCTTAGCTGATGCTTGGTTCTTTTTGCAATTTGGAGAAGCTTGAACTTCTTGGCTACTAGGTACCAGCAAACATGTGTGGCATACAAACTGATTTAAAGACTCACAAAACAAAATCTAGGATCTAAACAAAGGAGAGTAAATGGAAATCTTCTGAAAAGATAAAGAACAGAATCTAGAGAATCAGTACCTCCATTTTTCTCATTTCCATCTCAGCTTTCCTCTTCTCATGATTTTCCCAGGCTTGTTGATCGGTGCATAATTACATATCATTTTGTATCCTTCTAACTTATGATTGGGTTATGTTTTTAAGTTAAACTTGTGCTTTTAATAAGTTTTGTGTTTGTTAGCTCAAAACGGTGTTTGCAGATCAGTCAACTTCACGGATTGGACTGTAACCAGATAACGAGCCATACATCATTGGAAATATAAGGAAGTCTAGTTTTTGGAGAATTTTACGGTTCATGATTCCGAGTCTCCTAGAGGAAGTTATGCAAGTTTTGGCAGCTAAAGGTCAAATTCGGCAACATCTGTGTTACTGGGCCAAAAATGACATTTGAAGGTCTTTCCGATTTTTTCTTGAGTTGGGCTGCATATGCTTGGAAAGATAATTCAAAGGGTTTAAAGATCCATATTTTTTCAGATTTTTTAGGAGGGAAGATCAAGCCCAAAACAAGCCCACAATCTGACTGCAATGCATTGTTATGCATGACATAGGCATTCCAGCTATGAAAGTCTAAAGGAGCAAAAACAAGGCATTGTGGGAAATATGTTTGGATAAATCAAGAAGCACTTTCCAGGCTGCTAGTGGGATTAGTTGGTATATGCTGGAGCTATCAAAGAGAAAGAATGTGCATGCATGTGAAGCAAAAAGAAAGGAAAGAAAAGAAATGAAGTCAATTCGAGTCTATTTTCAGCAGTCAACTTGCAAGGCCCAAAACGTACACTTGTACTTCTCAGATAGGAATACATTCTTCATAAAAGTTTTTTCAATGGGTATCTATTATGACATATCCAAATTTGAGCCCCATTGGATACATATTGAAACCTCAGGCCTTTCTACACCAAGCCTGGTTCAGGAATCGTTTTTTCTAGCAACCAAAAGAAAACCCACACAGGTTGGCAGCAAAAGGCAGCCACAATTGAACACCTTTGAAAACTCATGTGAAGAAAGCTTGAGGTGCAGCAAAAGAAGTATGGGATGGAATTAATTCCAACCACACTAACATAGACAAGATGAAGTGGGAGTTATGGATTGTATTAAAAGAGGAATGGTGGTGTTGGATTTCATCATGTTGTTCCTCCCTCTTAGCCCTATAAATAGAGAAGTCTTCAAGCTTCAAAACACACCCCTAAGGGGGGGAGCTCTCAAACACTTCTCTAGAGCTCCCCTCCCTTCTCTCCCTCAAATTCTCTTAGTTTCTCTTTCTAGTTTTCAACTGTTGTAATGAAATCTTTGTGCTGAAATTCTCCTTAAGTTTTTCTTAGTTCCGCTTTACTTTTCATTGTTATGTAAATTCTTTTCTTTAGTTTCAAGTTTGATTAGTTTCCAAGTTTCAATTATGGTTTTTGTTCTTATTCATTATGCTTATAAGTTAATATGCTAGTTTGAATGATTGATCACTATTTAGGCTTGCATGTTAGCTATCTTGGTTTGAATTAAGAGTAGCATGCTTTAATTCGAATTGAACTATGAATAGGAAGAGTATGTATGGACATTCGACAACAGGGATTAGATACATACTTGGTTGTTTAAAATGTTCTTCTATGCTTAATGGATTCATAATGCTTAGTTTAGGTTAGACAATAGATGATGAAATTAGGGAATTAGGAATACGTTAGGACCAAACACCATGGCTTAATAATACTTTAGCTAGAATCAATCCGTTAATCTAATTGAACTTGGAAACTTATTTGCTTGAGTTATTTTCTTTTCTTTCTTTCTTGTTTTATTTATTTTCTTTCTTGTTTTTCTGTTTTGTGTAGGAAAACTGAATTGGATTATTCAATCACCAATCCCTGTGGAATCGACCTCGCACTTACATATGCTATACTACCGAACGGCTCGTGCACTTGCGAGTATCACAAGTTGAGGATGCAGCTGAATCCATTTTGGTGCAGCTGAATCGACGCAACACTTGTATTCTGACCTCTTCGCTTTTATACCTACATAACATTACAAATTTAAGATGTACCCAGCTAGCTATAATTGAAAGTTTAAGGCCTCAGATGGCCTATGTAAGCAAACTTGGCCCAATAAGTCCTAACATTTGAGTAGAAAATACTAAAGTGCTGCATATATAATTAATTGCAACTGATTATAACTAGCCGGGGAAAAGAATATTAGTAACCTCTCACTTTGCCATGTATTTAGCACGTTCTGCCTCATCCCAAGCCATTGCTCGAGTTTCTAGGGGACTTGGTTTCCTAACTTGATCTGAGTTCTGGTTGTCAGGCATACTCTTGCAAGCATTTGATTCTTCTACATACCTTTTGGCTGCACCACTTCCTCTCCCACAAGACTTGGCCTCATGACTACTTCTGCCATCAGTGGATTTTTGATAGCCCTGACTAGCTTGCATCCCATGTTGGCATGGCCTTATTGGGGTGGAGGATCCTGAAGCTATAGGGCTCCGTACCGCCGGAGTTGTGGCTCTAATAGGGGTGGCAGTTCTTGAAGGCTCTTGGCTTGCTATGGGGGTCATTTCTGTTCCCATGTCTCTCAAACATATAGATTTCATAGCTGCCGTTGAGTTTTCCGTTGGTTTGTTGCTTCTCCAAACTGCGTCATCACAGTCCACTTTCTTTGTCTCCACATCATATTGATTTGGCCTTGCAGAGCCATCACATCCATTTTCCTCTTCTTCTTGTTGATCTTCTACCCCATCATCCTCTCCACTTGAATAATCCTGCTCCTTCTGTGACACAGGAGCTATGAGTCTCAAGTCATCTGCATTTGAGTTTCTGGGCTTGGTTTTGGATTGGTTTTTGTCTGGTCCTCTTGACAGCCCCACTAGCCATTTTTGTGCATCATCCCATTTTGATGGCGTTGGTTTGCCTAAGGCTGTTCGATGATGAGGGGTACGGCTAGCTCCATTTGCTTTGTGAAACTCAAAATTTATAGCACTGCTGCCAGAAATCTCCTGAGTTGGTCCATGGTTGTTATAGCACCCCTTATCCTCTATGGATCTTATTCTTGCTCAAACAAATCTCTCTCTCTCTCTCTCTCTCTCTCTCTCTCTCACACACATGGGCCACACAAGACAACTTTATAACCACTAAACTAGAACTCCATTCCACACAACCATGTTCAACACAATCTTCCTTTTCTTTCTTTCTTTCTTTCTTTCTTCACAGTCTGCAATTGCACAGAAGTAGAGATTCTATCAGCAAACCAACGTGGACCAAAATCCTATCTTTGTTAATTACCTTAGTTCTCTAACTTCATGCTAAAACAGATCTGGGAGACAAAACCATCCCCAATAATTCCCCAACAAAAACAAGCTCTTTATACAAGCCAACTGGGAACTATGTAGCTTGACAGATAACTATTCTTCAGCATACATGAGTAACATGATGAAGCACATGAGACACCTAAACTAATGGTACACCTAAACTAATAATTCCTACCCACTAAATAGAGAAATTATATGGCCTAGCTTAGAAGTAATTAAATGCAATGGACAAAATTGTTACATCAACAAAAATTAATGGTACCCGGCAAAAACCCAGAAAAATCTGAACTTTCCAACACTGCAGCAGCAAGGGACCCAGGACCCATCTGGGATTTATCCACAATGCCAACTAATCTCCAAAGTTAAAAACTTTAAACACCAATTAGCCTGGAAATGAAAGCATCCCAAACCCAGAGGTCAAAACTAGCTGCAGATGGCTTGTTAAGTGATGCAATGTAATGTACAGATGACCCAGCTATAAAAAAGATTCAACAGAGAATTTAGGTTGAATTTCAACACAGAACAACCATTGACAGATGGGTTTTGCAGAAGAAACCTTGTCCTTGGAGAATAATATACCTTTATTATACACATGGAATTTTGTGACCTGCAGAATTTATAAATGAAGTTCAGATCCACTCTAACATTAAAAATACTTAAAAGAAATGCATGATTGAAACATGAAACTCCTATAAATGGCAGCAATAGTAAAACCATTTACATGGGAATTTGTGAACTTTATCACTGAGAAAACTGGCACAACAGTAATTGTTAGGTAAGTTGCTTACAAATTTACAAGTTACAATTTCACCAAGTATTCTTGGGAAGAGTTTCAGCAACCCACAGAAAAAAAAAATATTGTAACTGCTCTGGTCCCTAAAGAGTGAAAAAAGGTTTTGAAATACGGTTGTCCTTTGAAACGGTAACTAGCTGATTGAGTGTTTGAGGTAGTGACACGTTGTTAAGCTCATAATTTCATACATATACATGCCCTATTTATTTACTTCTTTTGCTTAGTTTCCTAGATTTCTAAGTTATTTGCCTCCCTTTGTGTGTTTTGTAGGCAAATAGAGCAAGAGAGCATAATTCATGCAATTCAAGCATGTTAAGGCCTAATTTGGATGAATGGATGAAGAGCTTAAAGACAAACTCATTTTGGCTACAGCCCCTTGCCAGTCCAGTTCCGTAGGTCATATTGCAAGCTTTGTTTCAGCAACCTACACAGCTCGGATGAGGCAGCATTCTTCATGAAAGTTGTTCCAATGGGTGTATACTATAACATATCCAAAATTAAACCCCATTGGATAAATATGGAGTCTGTTACCTAGCAAACACAGAGCCATGCTCAGGATGGATTTTATCAGCGCGCAAAATGAGTTAGCA